CATGGTTGATTAACAAGACAGATAATGCTTACTTTATATCTTTAACAAGTTCTTTTCTTTGCTGATATATTTACATATCTTTTTTCTATCATTTCTTATTTAGACGAATAAATAACTTGAACGCAATTTGGCATTGAATGTTTCAGTATTAAATAAAAAATTCACATTTTTCAAAATATTCTAAATAAATTAAATAAAGAAAGGCGAAAATATTTATTTCATTTAATTTATCTAATCAAATAATAAATAGAAAAAATATAAAATATATTAAATTACATTCATTATGTATGAAATATATGTGCATTCATGAATTTATCAAATGTATGAATTTATAACGAACTAAAATGTTATTTCCATATTCGAATTTCTATAATTCAATGATATCAATGAAAAATATTGCAACAAAATATTGTGCAATTTTAGCGTTAAAATTAAAAAATTTTCTATTAACTTTTTAATTTTTAAATTTTTATAAATAATTTATTTGCAAAAAAAAAAGAATTGTTTAATAATTGTATTTACTATTACAATAGTTTATTCTATCTCGTTTTCCCTTTCCGAAACTTATCTTGTTTATTAGTTAAAATAGAAACAAAATAATATATATATATATATCCTTATTATATTAGCGAGTTATTTTTAATTCATCGATTGATCAATCGCGCGATACACAAATGCAGCAAAGTGCACGATTGATTAATCAATGTGAAATAAAAAATTCGTCGTATGTATATATCCCTTATATATTTCTTTTGTTAACTGCCGTTTACTTTTTGTGTATCAAGATACACGATCAACTTTATATATTACAGCTGTACCGTTAAATCATATGATCATTTTATTACGTTTCAATTATAATTGAAACATAATCGAGAGCGATAGGACAATGAGTAATATGGATATATGAAGGATTTGCAGGAGGGAAAAATTGAGCTAAATTGAAAAAAGACAGAAAATGATACCCGCGCGATTGAATCGGAAGCGCACTTTGATTAGGCACGGCCCTGAGCTCGTACGATGTCGAGAGGAGGAGGATCGGAGGGATCCGAGAGGGCCGCGGAGTTTCGGAAAGAAACCGGCGCGGCGAGAACACGCGGTAGCGAAGGTGAAGGGGGACACGATACCGCTCTTGAAGATCGGCGCTTGCCGGCGTGTTACTATGCTACGGTGCCGCCCTCGATGGTGGATCCACGCGAAATCCACATATGATCCACGACAAATCCACACGTGATCCACACGTGTGAATTTCTCAACGAGAATATTGCTGCGATCTAGCGGATACCCGGCACAACTTCATCACGATCATGGTCATGTGATTATTTACGCAATAGTGTATTTAAACCGAGTAAAAATAATTGGGGATCTTTTCGATAATTAGGCAGGAGAACGTTCGTGTTTCTCTATAATATATCACATTATCCAAAGGGATTCTTTTATTTTATAAATTAAAAAAAAAAATTTAATTTAAATATCTTACAGTCTGCATATAGATTTTTATAGGCAATTGAACATTGCATTATAAACCAATGTATATACACATATAATACAGTCAATTTATATGACTTGTTTAGATCTTGGATAATCGTATAATATATTAAATATATTATGTGTATATTGGATATTCATATGTAAAAATATTTCACATTTATACTATTATATATTATTATATATTTAATATATTATACGATTATCCAAGATCTAAACAAGTCACATAAATTAACTGTATATATGTGTATACATTTATAATGCAATGTTCAATTGCCTATGAAAATCTATATGCAGATGTGTAAGATATTTAAAATTAAAATTTCTTTTTAACTTATAAAAAAAAGTATTGAGAGAACACATATTTTGTATTCTTAGGAGACTTCCGAAGTTTTTTCGGAAAAAATCTTAGACTTATTATGTTAATAATACCGATGAGCGAATCAGAGATGCACTTTACATAAAAAAAAGTATGTCTGACACAAATGAGCAACACAAAACTTCAATGTTGTATTTAATTGTAATAAATGTTTTACCTTTGCATTTGACTCCCACTTTGCCAGGTCCCCAGATATAATCTTCACCTGTAATAAAAAAGTTATAGATAAATATATACATATATACATATTTGTGTGTATATTTTTCTATCAAGATATATTTTTAAATCATAATAAAATTATTCAATATAAAATTAAAGTAAATAATAACTACATTTTAATGTAATATTTAAATAAAATGCAACCGAAAAGATACAATAGTTAAGAAAAATTATTTTAATATCTTTTTTAATACACTAAATTAATTCATTAAATCATATAAATTAAGGATGTATGGGAGATATCTAAAAATGGTACAAAGTTTATAAAAATTATGTAGATTGCTTCTACTTTGATATTAAGCTACTGTTAACATTTGGCTTTTAATTCACTAACTCATTTAAAAGTTATTGCAATTAAAATTTCTGCTAGTTTTACATATAATCTTATGAAAATTCGTTACTCTGATTAATTATATTACGTTAAAAATATCGAAGTGGTAGCATGTATTATAAATTTTTTACATATATAACTGAAACTTTAAAGAATAATGTTGCAAAATTATATTAACATTCGCTAAACCACTTAGAAGAAAATAAAAATAATTTATTAAATTCTGACTTTTTCCTATTTCTGAGCATTCAGTTGTGTCAATGCTGAAAGCAACTGAAAGTCAGAATATTAAATTATAGCGATTTTCTATAAGATGAATAGAGCTGATATTTTTGTCTCCAATTGTATCTCCTATATATCCTTAATTTATTTAAATTAGCGTGTTACTTACAGTACTTGCAAAGGATAGGCGTTACGAAAAACGCATCTATGAGGATGTGATTGTACGAGTTGTGTTCCGCGCTCGTGGAATCGGCTACATAGGCTGAAACAAGATAGCAAGAAATTAACAAACAAATTAATTAATTATTAAGAGATATGAAAATAATGCTCGCTATTATATGGCGGTATATATGTACCATAATGCTAATGCTTACCATATGGCCCATTGCTGAGCGTTACATAAGACGACTCTTCTTCATTGTGAGTGTCGAGGTACGGTGACAAGCTTCCTTTCAGCATTAGGGCTTCGTCAATCGTATCTTTCGTATCTATAACATAAAATTATATAAGTTATAAAAATAAAAAATGGTCCAAAAATAAAATTGCATAGTATTTTATAAAGTCCATACCAGGCACAAAGTCTTCCGCTGGAGTCTGGAGTCGCACAAGACGACACCAATGTGTGTTTTCAGTCTGCAAAGATGTGTCAGCGGGAGTTTATGAAGGAACGATCACATCAGCAGATCGTCGTCTTCATAGAAAAATGTATGCAGATTTATTTGCTTTGCAGTCATACATGGTATGTAGCAAATATGAACGATTTTGTGCAACACTACAATCATGACACATAATCTTTTTTGGCCCTTATGCATTCTCTTCAGAGATTCAAAGCACTTTTTCTTTATCGCTTCATAGCAATTAAGGAAGGCATTTATTTCATGTGTATTATCTCAAATTACTTGCAGCTATTTGAGCATTGTTTAGGAAGGCCGATTTTTGTATAATCAACGTATATTTTATCTTGTTAGTTTGGGCACATACAATTCTCACACACTGATTTGCAATTATTAAAAATAATGATTTGCTCTCTGTTAAAAAAACTATTTTTGTATATCCTTATACAATGGTATCCTTTTAAAAATTATCTCTATTGCTGTACATGAAATATGTAAAATGCAGTGTGATAATGTTGCCCCAAAGATGTTAGTTTTGCCAAATATCTTTAAATTGCTCCTCAATAGCAACGTGATATGAACACTATAATAATTATTCATGCGTGACAATGCAACGCATTATAATATTTATCATTCTCCTTTATCTTTCTTCCGTGGACATCCACTCTGCAAGTGTACTTCCTCTTGTTTCTCGCTATTTCTACGTCTCATATCCAAGATACCGTGATGAGCCTGCGATGATGGTCTGCAACACACAAATATCATAATAATTAAATGTGTAATCACTTATTTCTCTAACAATATATCCTAATAATTATGATATATCTTAACTATTAGATGAGAACTCAGATTAGAATACTTCTTGTCCAATAACTAAATTACAGAGATATTACTCCATTAAGCTTCTCAAGACACTAATTGCAAATTTTAGATCATATACACTAAAAATTATCCAAGTATCATATAATATTTACATTAATATCTCGGAGAAAAAAAGCTCGAATAAGCTAACCTCTTCCATCCTCACTTTAGAAGAGGAATACAAGAAATCTTTTATATAAAATATACATTCAATATTTACATACTCCGGATTGAACAATCCTACGAATATATTTTACCGACATTCTTAACTTAAATCAACATCACTTTTATTTGCCGATTCGTCAGGTAACTGTCACCAACCAAGAAACATATATGACGTACATGCGTGAACCGCGTGCCTCGACGAAGCCGTAAACGAAAGTTCACGTGCCAAATATGTGTACGAGAAAGAGAAAGAGAGAGAGACGGAGCAAGAAATAGATAGAAAGAGAGGGACAGAGAGAAGTGAAAAAAAGATCATAGCGCACCGAGAAAAAACCGCTTACCTTACTCAACGTTGCTCTCGTTGAACGGAAGACGAAGGGAGCGACGAGGGCGAGGTGGATGCGCTTCACCACCTCGCCAAGAGGAATCGTCAACGACGTGAAACTTGCGACGCGGATACTCCGTTCGAGTGAGACAGCTACGGCGTCGACGCTCGGCGACGTGGAATCTTTCTTCCACCCTCTTCTCGAATCGGCTTTGCGCTCCTGCTGTCCGCAAACTCGCGGGCAAAGATCGTCGCGTCGCTTATCAACGACGAGGTTGCACACAATAATAATAATATATCGTCGGTTGTCTCGCAAACGAACACGGTTAGGCCAGCTTAGGCAGCTGAGGTCGCCACCGGTAGCCACGCTTGAGCATAGATCAACCACGTGACAGAGACGCGCGACCACCTGTCAAACTGGATGACGCGACGACTGGCGCGCCATCTGGCGTAGGAAACTTAAGTCTCTCCCGCGGCGGGTTCAGGTGAGTTTGTGGACGCAGTCGCGCTTTTAACAGCTGACAGCTCTGTTCCTTTTTGTTACCACGTGGACAAAGCAGAAGCAGTGTACGCTCACCTGGCTCGCGCGACTGACACGACGTTCACATCTCCTTATATAGTGAATCGGAACACCGTCCGAGAGAAATCTCGTTATCATGAGCAAGATTACTCAGGAAGCTTACGACGAGGAGATTAAGGAATTAATGGAGGGTCTTGGCTTGACAGAAGAAGAGGCGGTCGAGGACGCTATCAAGTGCTTTGAAATGAAGGTAATTAATGCTCCGAATCCTTTGTTTACATCGCTCGATGAATCAGGGAAAAATATCCTTATGCTCCTTGTACGCGATTGTATGACTCATGTGTCAGGTCGATGAGAATTTTCACTTTCGATGTACTGGAAATAAAGAAGAAAATAAAACATTTTTGAGGTTTTAGAAATTTTATAAAATCTTTTTTTTACTTCAATTTTTTTAAATTAATTATTTTATGGATAAATTATGTATAATGAATAGAATGAAAATCTTTTTTGTATCCTTCTTTTACAAGCGTGATTATGTGCCAAGGATTTTTTTATTTTTTTATTTTTTTATTACTTACCGAAAGAAAAAATAATTCAAAAAATTCTAGTTTATATTATGTTAAATTTTACAAAATTTCAGCTGAAAAATATATATATTTCCAAATTTAAATTATATTTTTACATTTTAATAAAAAATATGTATTTTTTACATATATACACAGAGAGAGAGAATTTTCTCTTAGAATTTCTCCTAACAATCATGGTAACCGTGGGACAATATGGTATTGGAAGAATTTTATAAGAGTTTCTCTAATTAAATATTTGCCACAATAAAAAAAATCAAAATATGTACATAATAGTAAATTTAAGAAAACATTCTCTCTGCGTGCATTTACATAAATATAATTAGTGAATAAGTCATCGGAAAGTTTTATTGATGTCATTAGAAATAAATGCAGAATATTAAATCAAAGCGAAAAATTTCACGGCTATTATATAAAAATTAACGCTGTAAAATTTTATTTTATTAACCGAAAGCAAATAATTTCTAAAAGAATTTAAATTTCAATAATATTTTCATAAAAATTTTAGAAGTTGTATGATGATATATTTTATTCATTCCTACATATATTATTATTACTATTAAAAGCAAAAAATTAGCACTTACAGAAATGTTACGTAGTATAAAAATAAAATTTGTTACGCGTTCCTTCCGCATTTCTTGACCGTTTTAGTTTCGGAGCACTTGTGTCACAATTGCTATCTTAAGATATCGGCCTGTTCTTTATTGCACTATGCGTATCACTTAACGTATTGATCTTTGATGCTGTAAAAAATAGAAAAAATAAATTAATATAAAAAAGAGAATGAAAAAAACTTATTTTAAATTGTATGGCTATTATTTTTTTCATTACGAACAAATTATTATTCTTAAAAAAAATTCCATTTAAAAGACATTAATTGTAGCATAAATATATATAAGTCTTTAAATATTTAAAAAATAATTAAAATTTTATGTGCGATAATCAGAGAAAATTTCATAGCGCTTTGATCACATATGGTTTTATTATATAATCGCTGTTGTGATATAATTAATATGGAGCGTTTATTTCGCGCAGGGGGTAGATTTGAGCAACATTATCACAGATTTAGTTCTCGAGGACAAATACAAACAGATAGTAATATGTCTGGAGCTATTAACGCGTGCTACGAATGACAAAAGTTACGAATTGGTGCCTGAAACATTGCAAAAATTGCGAACCGAATTGGATAAGGACATTCGATATAGAGTGTTTGCGGCTAAACGCAAGTGTTACAATATCTTAATCGATCTCTTGAGAGATTGTGAAAAGGATCGCGGAATATTTAAATCCGCGCTGGAGACAATTACTTCATTAATGTCCGGTTATCCGGATTTGTTGGACGACGACGGGATTGCGTTGCAGACAGAGTAAGGACCCTTCCTTATAAGATTGGTTCTAAAAAAAGCAAGCGCATATTAATTAATCAAAGTCGTCAAAAAATATAGAATACTATAAGTATTTTAAGAGATAAAAATGATCAATTTATGTCAAAACCGAAAAGAATAAAATCATAAAGGAAAGAGGTTTTTTTAAATCAGATAATATAGAAAAATCGATATTACGTATTGATATTATTTATAAGAATATCATAATAGCCAATATTTTTTCTAAAATATATTTACATATTCTTGGTTAAATTAAAATTGTTTTTTTAATTGAAAATTAAACTAGAATATTCTTTATTAATTTTGAATTTTTTTATTTTTCAAATTCGTAATAAGTCAATAAAAATCTAAAAAATCTGAAATGCGCAAGCATGGAAAAGAATCACGCTTGGAAAAATAAAAATTATAAAACATATATATCTATAGTTTAAGTTATAAATATTCGTCCTTTTTCCCTGAACGTCTGTCACGGAATTTTACTTGTCAGGATTTTAGAGAGGCAGCACGATACTGCAACGTTACAATGTCTATTGCATTGGATACGAGAGTGTTGCATAAAACATGAACTGAACAGGCAAAAGATCTTTGACACTAATATCTTCGAAAAACTCAAAAAGATATTGGTGCGCAAAGATGTAGACGCGCACGAGATCAAGGACACATGTTCGGTGATCAGAGCATTGATCCTGGAAGATGATATCAGACATGAATATGGAAAGGCCCACGAGCATGCAACTATCATGGCAAAGGGCGCTCTCGATGTTCTCACAGAACTGTTGACAAGTAGATTATATATTCAGATAGCTTTAAAATTAATCTGAATTATTTTTCATCATTATTGTTTTTATATATTATATTTTATAATAAAAAAATAAAATAACATGCTTTATTGAAATATTTAAAACATTGTATATTTCAATAAAACATTGTGGTAATATATGCATTTGTTACGCGGACAGGATTTAAAAAGGATACGAAGGTCGTAGGTGATTTAATGATCACCTTGGCCTCATTAATCGTCCGAAATGAATTCTGCCAAGAAGTGGAGGACGCCGGGGGTTTGAAATTTATTCTGGATATAATGACCGATTATCCAGACTCTGAAAAATTAAATTGGCAAGCTTTAAAGCTGCTTAAAGCGCTCGCTGGCAATGATAATGTAAAATCTCACATTGTGACTTCCGGATGCGCGCCCCTAATCGTATCCGCTATCAGTAGAATGAAGGTAAATTAATCTGTGATAAACAAACGAAATAAGAACTTTTGTTAGAATAAATTTCAGAAAATATTATTTTATCATACAACTAAATAGTTTTTATATAAGACAAATTTTTATTAAAATTTATTGTATTTGGCAGAGGTCAGAGAATGTCGTGACTGCTGGATTAGCCTGCATATCCGCATTATCTTTACGAAGCACCTCAAACTCTGGTGTATTTTACGATTGCGGCGCAGCCCAAGTGATCGTAGACGCTATGAAGGCTTATTCTAATAATGCAAATGTCCTGAAACAAGCCTCTTGGGCGATTAGAAATATGTCAGTGCGAAATAGATCCGAGTCCAAGGAGTTTTTGGTATATGGCGTTGAAGAAGTGTTGCGGGATGCATTACGTGTCCACGGTCCCAAGTTGGAGGATAACGTGAAAGCCGCATTGAGAGACCTAGGCCTGAAGGTAGATCTAAAAGAAAGATGGACAGGAAAAGGTGTTGGCGTGAGTAACGAGCGTTATTAATAATTGTTGTCAACAATATTATCGAGATAAAATATGATATTAGAATTATATTTACCAGTACATGGAAAATTTGAATTTTGTACTTTGCTTTATCTCACCTCGCAATATATGCTATGTAATATTTCATAATAATCTTATTTAACTCTAATTAATAAGATTTTTTGTGCTCAAAAAATATGAACTTTGTAAAACTGCTGATTCTAAGTGTTATTTCATAAAACGTGACTATTTTAACTTGTGTATATTATTTTTTTATTGAAAAATTTTTTTTTCAAAACAAAATTATTCGTTTCTTGTAACAAATTGTCACTCATTATATAAAAGATTTAAAAATTTCATACATAGAGTGCCTGAAATTTATATAATATACTCCTCTAAGACACTGCCAGAATTTACATTATATATTTTTATTTAATTAGTTCTACTATCTACTTTGAACAGTTGTTTTTCATCGATTCCATATATATATATACACATAGAGACTCAGTTTTAGTATTAGTATGTATAAATAATTGTATGAGACTGGATTTAAACGGTGAACTGAATAATTTCCATAATATAGTATAATTATATTATTAAATATAACCAACTAAATTTTTTCGTCAGTTTATATTATAATTAAAATTTTGAGATAGATAGACACATGACATTTTGCTAATTAAAATTAGTAATCAAGGCTGCTGATATAATTAAGTAATAAATAATGTGAACACACACACACACACACACACTTTGCTGAAAAAAGACATAAATTAATACGATCGAATAAAATATAATAAGATATATGTACAATATATTGATTGTTTTTTATAAATTATTTTACACACATGCGGCGAAAAAGTTAAATGTATGCTAACGCATTGATATAAGAAAAAAAAAATTTATTTTTAACCAACAAAAAATATAATTCATTAAATCAATATACTATTTCCTTTTCTTTTCCTTCTCATGTGTCCATCTAATTTTACGTGACAGAATTACTCAAAAATCCATTTTGTTTTAAGCATTTTATAATTCGAGAGCAACTCTCTTTATTTTGCATATGATTATGCCAATTAATTAATTTATGCCAAAATATTTGATTATATTGCCAATGAGCATATACGAAGAGTACAACATTATTCTTACTAGTCGAAGAAACGATTCTCAGATCCTAAGGACGATTAAAGCGCGCAGCAGGAACTTCGATATATTTTTATTTCGACTTTCTTCGTCTATATTTCCTCTCTTCCTTCCATTATTCTTTTACAGTTATTATTATACAATTATTTTTATCATTATTTTAAATTGCACTAGCTGGGTGATTCTAAATAAGTGCGAAAAATTGTGAGAAATGATTCTTTGTTAAAAATTAAAAGGGATTTTTCATATTAAACATATGCTTCTATATCGTATTGTTAGTAGAAAGTAAAAATTAGATTTTTATTTTTTTTCTCGGAAACTACAGATAATCACATTCCGATCCGTTAAAAAGTTCTAATAAAAAATTGAACAGGGGTTGTTAGTTTCATCCCCTTCTAACACCATACAGGAAGATTAAAAAAAAAATTAATAAATACACTTTTCACTAGTGGAAAAAATCCAACAAATTTCATTTCTTTAACTCGTTCAAAAATTTGCGGAAAAGAAATGAAAACTTAATTAAAAACCCCTTTTAATTTTCGACGAAGAATCCTTTCCCAAAGTTTCTCGCACTTATTTGTAGAAACTCTCTGTATATATCGCAGTAAAAAATCTATTCAAAATATGCGTTTCTGAATGAAATAAAAATAAATATGTATTTTGCATTCGTGGAATTTTGCGTCGACGCGTGCTATGCGATGTTTTACGTGTGTCGAGCCCGCGGCGCGGCGTCGCGACGCGCCGCGTCGCGTCGACCGGTTACTCACCGCGGGCGACGCTCCATCGATCGTGTCGGTCGCGAGGGACTGCAGGGGTCGAGAAAGAGAGCGAGGGAGACGAGACTTTGCGGGGGTGCGCGATAGAGTCCTTCATCCCCTGTCCTCTGCTCCCTCTCCCGACGCGGCGGTGTTTGCCCCTGCAAAGTAACGTCCAACGTCGGAGGGTGGATATACTTGCCGGCGAGATAAGAAATTAACGCGTGGGAGGGAAAAATCTTTGGCAAATAAAATGGAGATATTTTTAATCCTTTGCATTATTTTCCAAAGTGAATGCTGTTTATGTTCGTTTGTTCGGATTTAATTTGTTCAATCACATTTTATATATAATTAATGCATTCGCGGTTGACGTATAGGTATTCTCAAAAAGAGATGTTCGTAAACAGGAAATTGCCTCCCTTCGCGCGAGTCGCTATGATTTTGATATTGTTCTCTCTCGGAGATTAATGTTCCATCCATTTATAAAATATATATAATAATAATAATAATGTATAATTCTAATATTAATATTTATTATTGTATAATTGCTTTTAAATGTACAGCACTATTGTGGATAAATCCATTATACAAATTAAAATTTAAAGTACATATATACATATATAAATATATGTATGTTACATATATCTGTGTTTTTGCGATGTTTAGCAAAAATGCATTAAATAATGTCTCTGAAAAAACTTTTGAAAGTTATTACATGTGTAAATATATTTTTAATATGTACATATAATTTTTAAATAAGTCAATCTAATTAATATTATTGTTACACAAATATTATAATTACATATAACATTTCGGGTAAAAAAATAGATAGAAAGATAACAATTCAATCTAAAAAAATTTAAAAATTTTTATTTTGAAGGATACGTCGAAATAATTTTTTTTATAGAATTGCGGCTATATAATATCTTTTATAATTAGAGGTATACGCAGCTATACAATTTACGGCTTCAGGATAGCAATTCGATTAATTCGGCGACGTGGAAATTTTTTTAGTTTGACTCGGTTTTAACGTAGTAAATTGGAAAAGTTTCGCGCTTTCAGCCGTAACGTAGAGATATAGTTATGTACTTACTTTCTAGTTGTATCTTATCCCCTTCGGTTCATAATCGAAGAAAAGCTTCCTTCGTCCCTTTGGGATATAACGAATGGATAGTCACCGAACGAGACAAAGACTTAAGTTTTGTTCATTCAAACTTTTCTATGTTTATCATTTTTTTCCTCTTTTTATCGACTATGTGTGTTTTAATTGTTACATTTTAAATATAAAAAATATAACGTAACACAAAATCTGGTTGGAAAATGTATAAGAGGAATAATTTTGTACGTCAAAAATATTTATCGTTTAAATTTTTACATTGCGTTATAAAATAGATTATGATTAGTATTCACAAAAGAGATAATTCATTGAAAAATCTAATATAACGAGAGACTTAATTTCTTTCATAAACTTATAATCATATGAATTGTTGTATATTAATAAAACAAAATATTGCATAAAGCGTAAAAATATTAATATTAATGTATTAATTATGAATAAAAGAGCATATTAAATGAATGTTTTTAGTTATGAATGATTAAAACTGATGGCAGACGTATTTGCGCGTCAAATGTTTCGTAAATCCAAATATGTCGTGTATTTTCCGTATGATTTTTGTTAAATTGTCAAGTGGATATATTGCGAGATGTTGACACATATTGTTTAATCAACACAATATTGAAATTATCGATCGCATAAATGTGTCGCAAATGTTTCACTCGCGAAATCTATAAAAAGACGATAAAAGAGAGAAATATTCTATTATTAATATTCTATTATTAATATTCTATTATTAATATTCTATTATTTAAGAAGATAACTATCATTAACATGTCATCTAGTGATTATTTTATGAACTTTTAAAGTTACATAAACGATGAATTTGGATATATGTGTCGTTAAGCAGCGTTAAACGTTATTTTCTCTACTTGTCATCGATTGACAGTAGTATAGGTAAACGTGAGCGCCGACGTCGGCCCGATATTTATGAATTAACGTATATTTATCAACGTCGCAAGAAAATTTCGGTCATTATATATAAATTCAACATAGAACAAATATTAATTTCATTAAATTTAAATATATATGAATAGACTATGCTCTTTGATTCAGATATTTGGTCGAAAAGAGATAAAGCTTCTATTATTCAGCCTTCGCCTTAGCAATAATGCTATAATATTAATACGCAATGATACTTGTTAATGAGAAATTATGTAATTTATAATTGATATAATACACAATATGTTCTTCTTATCATTATATATACATATTATATATATATATATATGTATATTTCTATTGTATATATATATTATTATACCGAAATAATTTTTTGTTATATTTTATGACGCATTTAATTATGTTAATTATTTACATGAACGCACGTTCTAATTTTCTTTACTTTTTATTCGATATTATTATTTATTTAAATATAGATCGATAATTTTTTTCCGAACATATTTCTCTACATGAAACAATTGTAGGAGAATAAAGTGTAAAATCTCTTGAAGCAAACAAAATACTTTATTGTTAGATATTATAGTACAGTACGTGTAGCCCGTGACACATTAAAACAGACCATTTAGTTATATCCTAAATAAATAGCCCTCTTATTCCATAACCAATCTTGATATGACCCTTTAATATCTGCCTCTGGCTTTCCCTACTTTTCTCTCTCTCTCTCTCATTCATTATTTTATTTCTCTCTCATATTCTCTTTTTAAGAGAAATCATCTCTCTCTCTCCCTCCCTCTTTCTCTCTCCTTTTCTCTCATTCACAATCCAAAATCTGTTTTCTTCACGAACCAATTGTCAACATTGAATCGGTTTCGTAACAGAGTAGAGGGTTACTTGCCATGATTTCGGGACGAGATTTCATTTGAAAAAATATTTCTCGCTCGGTGTCTTTCTTTCGCATGCATACAACAAACATATACGCACAAATACACACATGCACACATACTCACACTTTTTTTGCGTATGACTTTTTTTTATTATTTCGCGGAATCTCGGTTCTCTTCGCGACATACGCTTTTCATAACTGGGTTTCTCATTTCTAATACAAGAAATGGGATCAGATTGAGGAAGAGAGAGGAGCAGGAGAAAGCGAAAAAGAGAGAGAGAGAGAGAGAGAG